CCCCTCTCCAGTCCCACCCTTCTTGAGGTGACTGTCTCCTTCTTATCCTTCAGATTTAACTGAGGCATCATCAAAAAGCCTTTACAGGCACTTCTTTTTCCCTGCCCAAGCTAGGTTCTGTGTAATACCCATGCTTACCCTTTTATTACAGCATTTACCAATAACTGATTGAAGTTACCGTATAAAGATGTTTCTCCACCTTACTGCTCCTATGATCAAGAACCATGTCCTAGTCTTTGAATAATCAATGCCTCGAATAGTATCTAGTTCATAGGAATTACTAAATAATTACTAAATAAATGTTTGTCGATTGAACTTAAATCCATATCATAAGCTTTTTAGGTATGCAGTTTTATGACCATAAGTACATCCACATTGTTGTGCTCCTGAGAAGTTATCTGGACTCCCTGCCTGTAGGCCAACTTACCTCCTTCTCATCTCTATATTCTTGCCAGGGGGAATCTTTCTAAAATGTAAATGATGTTACTAGATGAGGTAAACCCTTTTATTGCTTCCCGCTGTCTACATTTGTGCTTTTATCACAATCTTTTCATAGATCCAAGCTGCAGTGAGAAAAAAAAAATCAATGAACCAAGGTTTTCTAAATTTTTTCAACTTAAAAGTTAGCTGAGTTAATGAATGGCAACATTAATCAGAATAAGAAATACTGAAATATGCGTGGGAGGTAAAATAAGCTTTATTTTAGATATGTTCACTGTCATATGCCTGTGAAATAAGCAAGAGGAGCCATCTTGAAGGCAGTTGCATATATGAGGGTGAAACTCAGAGGAGAGTTTTAGGATGATCATCTGTACCATAAGCATTTAAGTGAAATCAACGGAACAAACAACATCTTTTGAGGAAAACATAAAAAGTGTTTAAAAGTGATAAAACAACATTTAAGAACTAGCATAGGAAGAACAGCTATAATAGTAAAAGAAAAAACTACATTTAAATTTCTTTCTTGTCCCGCTGCTGCAGTTTAAAGAGGGCAAGACCTTTGATACTAATGGACAACCCAAAGCATTTTTAGTGGCTTCGCTGTCTTCTCTACTGGAAGGATGATTTTTATCCATCTCTCTTGAACTTCCCTGGCTCTTTCTCCTTGGGAAAAAAAATAATAATAATTAAGAAATCAGATATGTTGGATGAGACAATTTTGTTGCCTAAATAGTAGAAATGGAATTTTTTTCTAAAAAGAAAATTCTCCTGCTACTCTCACCTTGACAGATAAAACAAAAATTTCTCTCAAAAATGAAATCTAAAAAGCAAAAAAAAAAAAAAAGAACTCTAAAAAAATTTTTTTAATGGGATCTATAGTTTGTTTATCTATAGTGAGATTTTTGCTTCACTACAATTCAACTGAAGATGAGGAATTTGTTCTGTTTTCAGTCCTTTCTCTCACTTTGCAAAAAAATTATCTAGTCAGTAAGAGTAGTCCAAGGCCATAAAAAAATCAAAACTAAGCCTTAAAGGTACAGTATTTTTGGAAGCAGTGGAGCACATCATCAGAGAGATCAGGGATGTGGTAATTACACCTTGCAGCGTATGCCAGCTTCAGACCTCAATAGCAGTGCAACTCTGGTCAGATTACCTTCTATATGCTTTGGTTTGTCATCTAATGATAATATATACTCCATGGAGTTGTATTGAAAATTGAATATGTGCATAAAGTGCTTCTTAGAATGCTGACACATCGTCAGTATTCCTTAAGTATCACTTGCCTTTTAAAATGTATCAGAATATTCATTGAGTGAAAAATGAAAGTAAACCAACTCAGAAAATTGGTAAATAACTTATGATTCATCTACGTGATGGAAAGCTATGTATTTCATTGTAGTATGTACATATTATATAGACATAAAAAAATATAAAAGCTGTTATTTGAAAAAACTAGAATTTCTCTCTAAAATATAGCTGTAAATGTATTTTTCAAGTTCACAAAAATTTGTGTTATAGGAAATAAACTGTGTTATTTCCTAATTACATACAGTGTTATCAGTTTACTTTCCTATAATGTGTTACTAAACTAGCAGATGAAATATACCAGTAAATGCTTACCAATTTGACTTAAGTAATAACTTGAGGAAACAGTTTAATGTACTTACTAAGACAAATAATACATTAACCTATAATCTAAAATCTGTAGCTTTCTATTAGCCCAAACTCTAGTGGAAGTAACTTTGAAATAACAACAAGGAAACCAGGCCCACATTTGTTACTGTCTTATCTTAGGACCTTGTACAAGGGTTTCTGTTTCTGTCTGGGCTTCTGTTTCTTCATTTAGAAGAGAGAAATTCTAATCCTAGAATTCTAATCTAACTTTTTTCCTATTTCATGAATTTTGTGAGAAGCTATCATTGAGCAATATGTAAAGCAATTGGAGCCTATTTTATTAAACTACATAATTTTTTAAAGGATATTATTGATTAGGACAGTAAAGAATAACCTGCAGGCAGATCCTGCAAGGTGGTTCAACAGGCAGACACACCTACCTTTCTGTCAGCGCAGTCCATGTTTGGTAGGTATAGTCCATTCCTTACAGGAAGGAATAGATGCTTCATTGTGTTTCAAAAGTCAGCAAGCTTTTACAAAACGATGTAATTGACATTTTTCTCATTTCTGAGATCAAATTTTCTTAAATCATTCAACCTGGATAAACTGAGAATGTGGTTGATCTAGTAGTTTTTGAAATATAGTAAAGACGTTGCAAAACATGATATTTAAGTATTTCCTCCTAACCTCTTACCTTCACAAGATGTAAGAGTTCTAAGTGGAAAGATATCCTAATGTAAGAAGAAACTAAAGTAAAATGAGTCCATCTGTAAAGAAAAAACCAAAAGAAGCACAACGCAGACTCATCTCAGTAATTTAGCATTCCATTGATTCAGAATCCATAGTGATAATAACTATGCAGATTAGAGCTTACTTTTACATTATGAGGAAGTTTTTTTTAATAGTATAGCAAATGATATTGTGGGAGAGAGATATAGTTAACTAACCTGAAAGTACTATTTTCTATCTTTCGGGACTTCCTTGGTGGTCCACTGGTTGAGAATCTGCCTTCTGATGCAGGGGATGCGGGTTCAATCCTTAGTCAGGGAACTAAGATCCCACGTGCCGCAGAGAAACTAGCCCTGCATGCCACAGCTAAAGAGCTTGCACGCTGCAACTGCTGAGACCATACTCTCCAGAGCCCATGCGTCACAGCAGGAGCAGCCCCTGCATGGCAGCTGGAGAAAGCAGCCCGAGCAACAAAGACCCAGTGCAGCACAAAACAGGTGTATTGCCTTAACTTTTTAGTCTATGCTGAGACATTCTGTTAATGGCATATCAAGGTTTCTACTGGCTTCTACAAGTTTTCTAGTTGTTAACTGTTAATTCAGGCTTTTAGCATATTTTACAATGTAGTTAAAATTTCACAGTGACATTTTTCTTCCCCCTCCTCCACAGTTCACCTTAGTGAAACTTTGTCTTAAAGAATCTATGCGATCCTAGGAATCATACTATTCAGAGAGTATAACAGAGCACTGGTTCTTATCACTAGGGAAAGTCCAAGTAATATAGAGTCATCTGTAAATACAGTGAATTGTCTAGTAAATCTTCTAGTTCAAGTATTTGCATCACTAGCTTAAAACTGTTTTAATGGCTGTATAATACTTGTGTAAAATTTACATTAGAGAAATTTGTGGTAATAAATTTAAGCAAGATTTTCCTTTTTCACTGAGATCATAACTGCATTTCTCAAAGCAAAGATTTTTTTTTATGCCCCGAATTGTTTCATGTCCCTATTTTCTGTTAACAGAACTCTTGATATATGCAGTCATCCATTTAACTTGAGCTGTTTTCAATGTTGCATGCAGCTGATGAGTCCATCTAAACCTGTGGGTATGACTCTGAGAATACCCTCATTCCTTTAGTGTCTGGCTCAGTGCTGTGTTTATTTGCAAAGGACCCTCATGCATGGATCCATATAAATGAGGCAAGCTGGATCGGACTAGACTGTGTCGCTCACCAGTCTTTGAGGAGGGAGAATTGTGTATATGAAAGCTGCTGGGTATGAGCTTCCCTTATAGAGAAGATGTCTGTGTGTGCGACATCAAGCAAGACTTTTGGTTGAGGTTTTATGCTTACCGTAAAGAAAATAGTAAGAAAAAGGCAATTGATGATCTAATTCCATCATCTTTTGAGACACAAAACCCTTGCTAATGCAATGGATCTGATCTCTCTCCCATAGAGTAGTCTAAGAATCCTATAGAATAGCTTCTGAACTTTTGAGTCCATTTTCAGTTTAGTTGGAGAATTTTCAATCAACTGAAAAATCACTTATATTTGACTCAGAAGTATATAGAGTCAGTGCTAGCCTATTTATATTACTCAGGAATAGAAACTTTTAAAATGTAGTAGAGAAAATCTGGTTTTATTAGCATCAAACCATTTTTATATACTTAAATTGTTTTGATGGACTGAGACATCGTTTTTCCAACCTAGCCACCTAATACCTGGCTTTAAAGAGAAGAACTGTAATGCATAACAATTATACAGTATACCAACATATCACTTATTAAGCTCAGTAACAGGTGTAAGAGTGATAGTATTTCTATTGAAAAATGCACTTCTTGGGTGAAAAATCGGTTTGAAACTGCTCAACATTTAATATGCCATCTTGTCATGGCATAATAGTGATTCATTCATAACTTTGATGCAAGTAGGTAGATGTATTAAAACTAGTAGCTTATGTTTTGCATGTAGCCTCTAAAACTGACGTGATCTGAAGATGGGGTTTAAGTGTGTGTTTTTGCTGTTTTTTTAACCTCAAATCCTTGGCACTCTGCGCCCGTGTCTCTCACTTACAGTCATGCTTCGTTTCTTCACATGACGACCAGAAGTGCTCGGTCACAGGTAAATACTATCCTTTTTCAGTCAAAACATTCCTGACAATAATTGCACTTTTTATGTTCTTTATTTTTTCCCCTCCCACCCCACTGCCCTCAACTTAGGTTGGAAAGGCTGGTGGACGTCCTGAGGAAGAAGGTTGGAACAGGGACCATGAGGACAGTGATCTGAACTGAAAAAAAAACACGACAGTCTGGGGAAGCAATCACATCTGGTGACCAGGCTGCTTCATTCAACACTGTGTAAACACTAAAGCCTTAACTTAGCAAACAGTTGTTAGAAGTGGGACACTCCAGCCACATTCCAAGCTGAGATAAAATCAAATCACAAATGTTTAACCACTTTGCTGCTGACTTGAGTTATTTATCCAAATGTATTAACTACAGACTTTTACCAGTGAATAGCTGTAAAGTTGCAGCTTATTTGTAATTATTTTATATCTCACTGTATTTAATATAAATATTTTTGCTGGAAGCCCATTATAGAAACATAGTAAAGTTGGTCAGGATCATATCTTCACATATGGCCCTTTCTGAGTCAAATGCAGCAAAGTAAATATTGTCTAAACCTTAATCCACTGTGTTAGGTCAAAACTTCAAATACATGCATTTTTCAATATAGAGTTTATTTCTTAACCAATGAGAGAAGCACATACATATTCTTATGTATGTTAGTCTTCCTTCGACATATGCATGTAATCTTTTTTAGTATTAAAGAATATTAAGTATAGATACCAAGAATCAAATGTACAATTTGCTTTAATAAGAGCTTGGAGTATTAAAATTATGTTAATCAAAGCATGGTTTTTTTCCACTACAAATAATGCACACTGTTTTCAATAAAAAGAAAGTATTGTTAATGTATACTTATAAATTTATGGTGTTGGTATTTTTTAATGTTGGGTCTGAATAATGATCTAAATTCTATTTAAGCCATAGTAATTGCCCCATCTGTCTACTCAGGTAGGATACTTTTGGCTTGAAAATTAGCATGTGTCACCATGACACGAAAAGGCAAGCCCCCATGAAACATATGAAGTATTCTATTTTTTCATGCCTTTTTTTAAATGCCTTTATTTAGACTGTTATTTGAATTTTTGTTACAGAAGAGGGGAATCTAATTATAATATACAATAAAATTATAATGTAAAAATATAAAGACTTGTGGGAAAAAGTAAACGTGTGATTTGGTTCAGGAAACCTACTTTTTTAAATTTTATGGATAAAACTAAAATTCGTGTATTTAGCTACAGGAAAAAATCTTTTTTTAAGATTGAGTAGATGAGAAGCAAATAGAAAATAAGTATGACCAGAATAGGATGAAATAAATAAGTAGAGATGGAATTAGTGAAAATTAAGTAGTCAAGTGAAAAATTTTCTAAGTCCATATAATCTTTTAATTTATCTTTAAGACTGAGCTAAATTATCTACCATTGCCTATTTTCAGGACAAGTACAGAATCATTTATTGCATACACCATTAGAAATTATGCTTTTGAATTGTTTTTACTCTGCAGAAAAATGAAAGGTGCTTTATCATAGGGTGACAAAAGAATTGTGATGCAAACAAGCTCTATTGGTTTCTTATTAAACCCGCTGAATTAACTGACAGAATCATCCCATTGATTCAAATTTAGAATTTACTCATGTTGTCTGATTTTAATTTTGCTTAAACTATGTGAAAAATAAGGAAGAATAGGGGTTCAAAATTAACTGGATTTATTCTACAGTCCTAAAGAGAATTATAGCCTCTCTAAAGCAGCGACTATCTAACTATAGAGATTTAGAATAGTTTCGTCATGCATGTAATTTTCAATACTAGCTCTAATTGAAACATGTAACAGCTCCCTATGTGAAGGAACAGGCCCATTCAAGTCATGCAGGTAAGTAAAGAGAAACAGTTCTCATCACAAAATAGTCCATTCCTGAATCCTCTTCAAATAAATCGCAAGTAACTTGAATTTTCAATTTATTCCTGAATAACAGATGAAACTTTTTTGAGTTATTTTGCTTGAGGCTTTATAAAACACAAAGTGTAGAATAAAGACATTTTACAATTTCCAAACATCTCTTTCTATAACTAACCAATCAGATTAGCACAACTAATTCCTATAATCAGTATATAGAACCTTTAATTTGATACCTTGACTTTAAATTTACAAAATAGTTCTAGCATCTACTATTGCTCAGTGTAGGTAATCTCCCCCAGATTACCACATCCCCTTGAAAATGAGTTGTCTACAAAATTACAGATGTGTCAAGTAGTACATTTTTTTGGACAGGGCAAGGGGGTATAAAGGAATAATCTTGCCTGCTGAAGATCAGTTCTCTATATATTCAACTATAATGCAACTTCTGAAGTGTTCCACACTTCAGAAAAGAGGTTGCTTTGAGTTTACTTTAAACATCAAGTCTAATTCCTACAGTGAAATCATAATTTACTTTTCCTTGTTAAAAATAAGTAGTTCAGAGGAAAAGCAGAAAAGATCATACAAACATGTAGCACTTAATTTACAAAGTCCTTTCTCATCTGCATTTTTATGTGATTTCTTCAACAGTAATTGTAATACCAATATATATGTCAACCATGTAATAATGATAATGATGCTAGTAGTTTTAGTATTACCATTAGTAGTAGTATTAGTAATACATTTTATGAATGAGGAAACACACTCAATGAAGCTAGGAATTTGGCAAGAACTGGCTGGGACTTATAGCTGAGGTCTTATGACTCAACTCCATGCAAGCATAGGTTTCCAGAACTTTCATTTACAAAAATTAAAAATCAAAGATTCTAACTGTTGCAATTTCTTTTATTATTGTGCCATTTCTTTTATCATATATGTATGAATTTTCTGCACATATCTTTGAATTAAGTACGGTAATGTGAGCTGCATATGTGAACAGCATCACATTATTACTACCTCTCTATAGTGTTACAGTAGCAGCCTTATCCTTACTTTCACTAATTAGGAATATTGTGACAATTCATTGTTGATTAAAAAATAACCAGAGTTCCTTCGTACTCTTTTTAATTTGGCTTGATGTTAGAACCTGACAATATATTTCTATCAAATGATAGTCTAAACTTAAAGGCTCACTGTACCTCCTGGAGCATCTGTTAAAGATACAACCAGTTATAGGCAAGTTATAAGCAAAGTTATTAGTTAATAATATGGGAGAAACTTTCATTCTACTTCTATATTATGTTTAACCATTGTGTTAAAATTATTTAAAACATCTTTCTTTTTCAGTGAGAAACTTGATCCTTTGTAGATGTCCTTATTCAAATAAACTGATAAATCTTCTCATTAGATCATTTACCAATAGAATTAGCTTATTGGACAAAAATGTTAGAATATTAAAATTTTATAGTTTTAATATTGATTAACATTGCATAAAAAGCCATATTTATAGATAGTGTATTTTTAAAGATAATTAGTGAAGCTTCTGTCTTTAAATACTCTTGACAAGTGAGGCATTATAATGATAAAATAGCCATGTCCTATACATTTGTCTTCTCGCATATGGTTTGTATGGAACCCAAATTTTTCACAAGACAATTATTGTGTTGATAACTACTATCTACAGCTATGCTATCTATCTAGTAATATCGAGAGAGATATCAGTTCAGTTCAGTTTAGTTCAGTCACTCAGTCGTGTCCGACACTTTGCGACCCCGTGAATCGCAGCACGCCAGGCCTCCCTGTCCATCACCAACTCCCGGAGTTTACTCAAACTCATGCCCATCGAGTTGGTGATGCCATCCAGCCATCTCATCCTCTGTCGTCCCCTTCTCCTCCTGCCCCCAATCCCTCCCAGCATCAGGGAGAGATGTATAGAGATATATAAATACACAGACACGTACACACATAAATATATTTGGCTTTCTAAAAAATTGATTTATAAGTCAACTGTTAGGCTCCAGTGACTTCAGCATTTTGTTCATTTTATTACAAGTGCACGTGGTTTCTGAGGCTTTTAAACAAATACATGAAATGGTTGAAAGATTTATATTGCTTGAGCTCAGCTAAATATGTCATCTCTAGAAAAGATGTGGTTTATTTTGGCACTGTTTTTAAAACTCAAATATTTTAAACATTTGTTAAGTTGGAGCTTGCACATTTGAACTAGTAGCATGCGTTCCAGAATAGCATCTCAGGTTACCAGATTTTTTGTAATCCTTTTACTAGAATAACCTTCTTTGAAAAGGTTTTCTTTTCTTTTTTATTATGTACTTTAAGTTAAATTGATAAAGGTTGAAGTTATTTTTAATGTAGGATTTCATAAATAGAATTGGACAGTAATAAATGTGTATTTTTTAAGACTCATTAAATTATTGTGTACTATTGATACTTCTTTGCAGAAATCTTAATATACTTATTTTTAATGTTCCTGTTTTCTCAACATCGTTTTGGAGAATGCTGGTACTTTGGATGTCACCAGTTTCTTGATGGTCAGATTATTAAGAAAGTTGTATTTTAATGCACAAACTCCAAAATCTGAAATATATATTTACTTTTCAGTCATATAAGCTCTCTACTGCAAATATTATATATTTCAATACAGTTATTATACATTTAATCAAGCTTTTATAAGTATTCAGTCCTGAAGGCACTGTACTGAATATGCCTATAAAATACACTAAGTAAGGAAACAGATTAAGTTCACTGTCAAACTGTGTCTGACTATCTTACAAGTTTAATGAAGATAAAAATCATTATGGACAAATTTATTAGGTACTTTACTACTGGCAGTAGTAAAATATTAAAGAGAAATTATATTTTGATTAGAAAGAACCTAAGACAGGCAATCAAATTCTCTTAATAAAAAAAATGATTCCAATCTGTTACAAAGCACCTCTACTAATTTTGGAATTTGTATGTCGAATTTTGCTGTAACCAAGAGCTGAAATCCAAGAACATTTCTTCTGTTGTGTTTGGTTATTCAATCAAGATAAGGTAAAGATAAACAGACTAAGTAACACACTATCACCTGTAGTGAACTTAGAATTTAAAGCTTAAGGTACATGGCTACAAGAGGACTAGGGTGGGGTGGGCAGTAGGAATTGTTGGGGTAAAGTTTCTATAAACTGATAATATCTAAACAGTCATGTTGCTGTTTAAAAAAATTGTCTCACCATGTACGACCTTTGTGATATTGCTGTCATGCATTTTACTTTTACATAGGTATACAATAATTTAAATATTGTTTTTGCTTTGAATAATTAACTACTTTTTAAAGTGATTTAAAAAGTAAGAACATTATTTTATACTTACCCACGTATTTACATTTCTAGTAATCTTTATGTAGATCCAAGTTTCAAGCAGCTACCATTTTATTCCTTCCTGAAGTATGTATCTTTTATACAATGCTGGGCTGTAAGTAATGAATGCTTTCAGCTTTTGTATGTTTGAAAATGTCTCTTTTTTTGCCTTCATTTTGTGGGGGGGAAAAAGTTTTTTTTCTGGCTATAGAATTCTAGGTTAACCTTTTGAAAAATATTTTCAAGATGTTATTCTACTGTCTCTGGCTTGCTTTTGTTCCTACTGTAATTTTAATTTTTGTTTTCTGTACATATGTCCCCTGGCTGCTTTAAGGATTTTACCTTCATTACTCATTTTAGCCAATTTGATTGTGATGTGTTACAAATTTCTGCATGTTCCTGTGCTTATTTGTTGAACTTCTTGGACTCTTAAGTTTATAATCTTCATCAATTTTTTAAATGTTTGGCTTTTTTTTCCCAATATCATTTGTCCTCAAACGCTTTCCTCCCCTTCTAGAACTGCTACTTAATATATATTAGGCCACTCGATCTTGTCCTGCGGCTCATTCATTCTTTGTTCATTTTGCCAGTGGCGGAGGGGTGTTTCTTTTTCCTCTGGGCATTTTCTTTTGAATACTTTCTATTATTTTGTCTTTAAAGTTACTGACCTTTCCTTTTGCAGTATCTAACGTGCTCTTCTTAATTCCATCTAGAGCCTTTTACTTCACAAATATACTTCTCATCTCTAAAATTTTAAATGTCTTTCATATCTCCTTAATTTTTTCATGCTTCACACTATCTTCTGGAATACTGTGCTTGTCTGTTAATTCTATTATCTATTCTATTTCCAAGTCTGTTTCTATTGATTTCCTTATCATAAGTTGTTTTTTTTTAATTGAAGTGTAGTTGATACTTTATAGTTGAAGCCTGATACAAACCAGGCTTCAACAGTATGTGAACCATGAATTTTCAGATATTCAAGCTGGATTTAGAAAGGGCGAGGAACCAGATTTCAAATTGCCAACATCTGTTGGGTCATCAAAAGAGAGTTCCAGAAAAACATCTACTTCTGTTTTATTGACTACACCAAAGCCTTTGACTGTGTGGATCACAACAAACTGTGGAAAATTCTGAAAGAGATGGGAATACCAGACCAGCTTACCTACCTCCTGAGAAGTCTGTATGCAGGTCAAGAAGCAACAATTACAACTGGACATGGAACAACGGATTGGTTCCAAGTCGGGAAAGAAGTACATCAAGGCTGTATATTGTCACCCTGCTTACTTAACTTATATGCAGAGTACATTATGCGAAATGCCCAGCTGGATGAAGCACAAGCTGGAATCAAGATTGGCAGAAGAAATATCAATAACCTCAGATATGCAGATGACACCACCCTCATGGCAGAAAGTGAAGAAGAATTAAAGAGCCTCTTGATGAAAGTGAAAGAAGAAAGTGAAAAAGTTGACTTAAAACTCAACATTCAGAAAAATAAAATCATGGCATCTAGTCCCATCACTTCATGGCAAATAGACAGGGAAACAATGGAAACAGTAAAAGACTTTATTTTCTTGGGCTCCAAAATCACTGCAGATGGTGACTGCAGCCATGCAATTAAAGGATGCTTGCTCCTTGGAAGAAAATCTATGACAAACCTAAACAGTGTATTAAAAAGCAGAGACATTACTTTGCCAACAAAGGTCAGTCTAGTCAAGGCTCTGGTTTTTCTAGTGGTCATGTATGGATGTGAGAGTTGAACCATGAATAAGGCTGAGAGCCAAAGAATTGATGTTTTTGAACTGTGGTGTTGGAGAAGACTCTTGAGAATCCCTTGAACTGCAAGGAGATCCAGCCAGTCAATCCTAAAGGAAATCAGTCCTGAATATTCATTGGAGGGAGTGATGCTGAAGCTGAAACTCCAATACTTTGGCCACCTGCTGCAAAGAACTGACTCATTGGAAAAGACCCTGATGCTGGGAAAGATTGAAGGCAGGAGGAGAAGGGGATGACAGAGGATGAGATGGTTGGCTGGCATCACCAACGCAATGGATTTGGAGTTTGAGCAAACTCTGGAAGTTGGTGATGGACAGGGTTACCTGGCATACTGCAGTCCATGGGGTCACAAAGAGTTGGACACAACTGAGCAACTAAACTGAACTGAACTGATAGTTGATTTACAGTGTTATCTTAGTTTCAGGTGTACATCATAGTGGTTCAATATTTTATAGATTATATTCCATTTAAAATTATCACAAAATAATAGCTATTTTCCTGTGCTGTACATCATGAGTTGTATTTTTCTGCTCTGTATGCTTGATACCTTGTTTTGGATGCAAATCCTTATGAGTTTTATCTTGTTGGGCGTTAGATATTTTTGTTTTTCATTAAAAATTTTGAAGTGTGTTCAGGGATGCAGTTACATTATTTGGAAACAGTTTTGATCCTTGCTAGTAGG